CCTCTCCGGCGGAGAGACCCGCCGTGGGTGGCTCCTCGCTTTCCTTTACCCCAGGATCTGGGGCGGGACGGGCAAGGGGCTATAGATGAGGCAGGGATCAGGACGTTGTGACACCTGTGCACTTGTTTGGCACTAAGAAGGGAAAAGCAGAGGTGTCCCGAACCCCTGGGGCAGAGATCCCTCAGGAGACCCCATCCTGGGAGGCCGGGAGAAGCCATTTCCTTGGACAAAACCACCAACTCTTGGCCCTGGGTTCTCCTCCCACCTCCCTCCTGAATTCTAGGGCCCACGCGCACCTAAGAGGGGCTGGAGCCGGAGACCCGCCCGGGAGCGGGAGCCTGGCCCTAGTCGGGCAGATGAGGCCGCTCTGGAGACCAAAGCTGCTCACTTTCCCGAGAAAGGGTCTCTGTCAGGATGCCCCCAGGGAACCTGGCTGGCCCCCGGCCCCTGCCTCTACCAAACCTCTCAGTAGAGGGCGCCTGGGAGCCCGAGGGAGAGCCCTCCCTGCTCGACTACCCTTCGCAGCCTGCCTTTGGGAGCGCTGCTGTCCTGCCTTCCTGCCTCGACCCCCGTTGGGGAATTCTTATTCGGCTTGGATTTTGCTCTTTCTGATGGCTTTTCAGTGTACCTTCATCTGCCAGGGAAGAGCCTGGCCCAACTTAAGCCTTAAGAAGGCTAACTTGGGAGGGAAATTCAGCTCTTTTGAGGCTGGGTTGGGAGCCCCAGGATCAGAGTTCTGAATTGATTGTCCTCTAAGAAGCCCCCTGGAGGGGCAGCGCTGGTGGCCTGAAAACCTTGCTTACGTCCTCCGGCAGGACACAGCAGAGCTGGGGCTGGGAACAGCTTTCCTCTCTCTTGCTCAATTCCAGCTCCCCATTGCCCCGTCAGGCCTGTGACAGTCAGGAGAGAGAGGAAGCTCTCCCCTACACACACACACACACACAGAGGAGAGAATATCCAGTTGGGCCCACTCTCCTAAAGGCGATGAAGAGGAAGGAGGGACCCTCAAATAAGAAGGACTAAGTTCAGTTTAACCCCCTAAGAGGCAGCATGAAGGCTCCGGGTGGTGGGGGAGGCCAGGGGTCAGGGTGGTAGGACTGCTCTGACTGCCATCACAGGCCTCTGGCCTGTCTTCCCACTGGACTGCCTGCTTGGTGGCTGTGCCTTCTGGAGGGCTGTCCCTGGTGCCTAGCACAGGGCCTGTCCCATTGGCTGTGCTCAGTGCATGTCTGCCCCTGCTGACCTCTCCCCACTCTTTGTCTCTGCCTGCCTCCTCCTCTGAGAGGTCCTCCCCAGGGCCTGGGGCGCCCAGCTGTGTCATTCTTTAGGCGGGGCCACCGTCCCCTATGTAGGTTGACGGGGGCATGGGAGGAAAGGAGTTGGGGAGGAATAGGGCCTGGGCAGAAGTTAGAATGTTTTGAAAATCAGGACTTGTTTGGGTTGAAATGCATGTGAGTTTGCCAATGACCCGTTATTATATTTTCCTTTAACAGCTTGGCTGCTCTGAGAGGCAAAACTGTGGCCCAGGGCCTGTGCTTGGGGAGGCTGGATTCTGGTGACTCGTCACTTCCCTGTGTTCTTCTCCCTCCCACAGCCCAGCCCTGGGGCTTGGTAGCGATCAGATGCGGGGTGGGGGTGGGGGGCTGGAGGTGCAAGGCTGTGGAGACCCCCCCACTTCTGCCTTTGCTCTCTCCTTCCTTCCCCTGGTCTCTCTTGGCCTTGATTGTCTGCGGCTGTCCCACGTCTCCCTTCTCTCCCCTTCTCTAAGAGCCAAGGGACCCTGCCAGACTGGGAGCTCCCTCTGTTTGCCTGGGAAGGCTCAGAACTGAGGCTCCTGAGACAACTAGAGAAAGCTCTTGGGAAAAAGAACCCATGCCTGACCTCTCTGTTCTTTCTCGCTCAGTGGAGCAGCACCCTCCCCGCTGGGGCTCCAGAGCCAGTGAGGAGGGAATCTGAGCTGAGCTTGCTTTGGAGGAGAGATGGAGCCGCGAAGCAGCCGAGGTCTGAGGCATGGGGAAGGCTACCGAGGGTCCAGAAACAGGGAGGTCATCCTGTTGTTGGTAGCAAGCGCACTACTGGTCTGGTTCAGGTCTGGAGGACAATGTATGGGAGACTGCCAGGTCCATCTGGAACTAGTCTTCTCCTGGGTCAGCTCTGGGCCAGGGATTGCATCCACAGACCCATTCCAATTACAACTCCAAATGTGGAGGCTTATTTAGGGCAGACGCAGCAAAATCAAATCCCTGTGGCTCCTCTGACGTTTTGGTGGTGCCTCCCCCGACCCCATGGTAAGTGGAGTCAGATGCCAGGGTGTGTTCCCTACCCTCACCCCCAACCAGCTCCAGCACAGGCACCCTTCTCCTAGAGAGTCCAGGATGACGGAGCTCCAGGCGTGCGGCAAGCCTGAAATATGGGAGGATCTAGATCTCTCGTCCTTGTTTCCAAGCTTCATCAGCCATTCATTCATTTGTTCATTCATTCAACAAATATGAACCTGTCTCATTCAGCCCACATCCTTAGAATAATGCGGTATGCTTCAAGTGTAGTCTCCTCTAGGTTAGAGTTGGTGAGTGGGGGTGAGAGCGAGTGCCTCCTATTCGGTATCTTCTTAATCTCCTGGTTTCCTGCCGCCATGGGCAAAGACACAGGGCTGCTGGGCTTCAACCCCCAAAAACAGGTACAAAAAATCTCTGACAGGCGAAGACAGCTCCAGTGTAGACGCATGAAAGCTGGGAGTTGATGGGACCTTAGGTTTGATCTACCTAGCCTCCTTCCAGGTCCAAGAATCCCTTCTACAGTAGGGTGCCATTATCGAGCACCTATTGTGTGCCTGGCAGTGGGTCTGAGAAGTGGGTGTGCACCCTGTGTTTGACTTCCTCTGGTGACTTCCTCTGGCTCCTTTTGGAGCAATTCTAGCTCTTCTTCTGTCCTGTCTCTGGCTGAGCCCAGTCTGCGCCCCTTGTCCCTTCCTCTGTGGCTTCATCTCTCCTGGAGGGCAGACGGCTCCCTAGCCCCATCCCCACTCCTCTCCTTGCCAAGGAGTGCCCCCCATCTGGCTTCTCCTCCACTGGAACCCTCTCCAACCCCTAGTGCCAGGTGTAGGCTGAGGCTCAGGGTTGCTGTGTGCCCTCAAAGGGAATGGTGGGACTGGGGGCTCTCGAAAAAGGGAGTTGCTGCAGCCTGTTCCTCAGTGAAACAGGCTTCAGTTTCTGGGCTGGACCAGGTTAAGGGACTTACTGCTGGAGAGGGGAGGGCACACCGCGGGGCCCTGCAGTGTCTGCTCCCTGGTGAGGCAGCCAGCCCTGAGGGGGTGGCAGGAGGCGGGGAGGCCCCCAGTCGGCCGCTCACCCTCCCTTCTCCTCTTCCTCATCTGCTTCCTCCTGTTCTGCTGTTTTCGCTCTTCTCCCCCCACTGTCCTCGCTGTCAGCGTTCTTCCTCTCCAGGCGCTCTCCTGTCTCTCTCTCAGGTTTTCCTGCCCTCTTTTCTAAGAGCAAAAATGCCCCCCAACCTCTGTCAGCCTCAGTTTCCTCATCCTCCAAATGGGAGAACCAATAACAGTGTTTGTGGCACCGAACGATTATAATTAACAGGGGCCTGGCGCTGGCGTGACACATAGATTTCACTTAATAAAAAACTAGTTCCTTTCCCTTTTCCCCTTCCCTTTTCTCCTATATAATTTCTCCTACGTTTCCATCTGCGGTTACCTCCTGTCCTCTTCTTCCACAGCTTCTCTCAGCGTCTCGTTCTGCCCCTCCTAGTCCTGTCCCCTCCCCTCCTCTGCTTTGTCTCCCACCTCCTTTTACTCCCTCCTGGCTGTCCCCACTCCCCCAGCTCCTGCCACAGGCAGCGGCAGGGCCCAGGCTGTGCTGACGACAAGAGCAGGCGGCAAGGGCGGGTGGCTGGCTCCACTTCTCATTAGAGGCCCAGGAATGTGTGGAGTCATGAGGGACAATGAGAGCAGCAGCAGGAAGAATGGGGCCTCTGTCGGGGCAGAAGTTGCCCAAATCCGGCTCCGCTGAATGGGAGTACCTGCGGGGCCGGGGAGGGGGAGTTCCGGAGGTGGAGAGAAGGTCACAAGTGGTAGGCACCGGGGGACCCGCTGGGCCCTCTGGAGTGGCTACATGGGAATTCTTGGCATCTGCTGGCATTTCTGGGGAGAGCTCAGACCTCAATGGTGACTGTCTGTCCCAGAGCAGCCTCTCCAAGGGGACAGGGCCAGGGAAGCCAGAGAGAGAACATCCCAGTGGCCCTGTGGGGTGGCCTTTATGTACAGCTCCTTGAGCTGCCTGGGCCCCAGCTCTCACCCCCAGCAGAGCGGCAGAAGGTTTGGGGGTGGCCACAGAGAAGACAGGGATAGTGGGATGGCCCCAGCTTGAAGAGGGTGAGTCCTTGGGGTTCTCATCAAGTGGTGGCCCTTCACTGGGAAGCAGATTCTCAGGACTGGAGGAGCAGAAAGAGCAGTGAGGCCCAGCTGGTCTGCCTCCGCTCCCTCCGCGTTCCACAGGGGTCTGGGCAGGCCGCTGCCTGAGACCTGAGAGCTGTTCCTCCTCTGCATCCCCCAGGGCTCCTCGGGCCAGAAACCCCTTGGAGAGAGACTGCCCCCTCTGGAGTTTACTCGGGGCTTGTCAGGTGGCCTGGGGCTGGCAGGCGGGCACTCTAGGATGGATCAAACTGGCTGTGGCCCAGAGTCAGAGGGAAGGACCAGGTGGCGGGGGGTGGAGGGGCCAGACCTGAGCGGGTCTGAAGGTCTTTGAAATAGAAGGACAGACAAGTGCGGGAGCAGAAGAAATGGGGGGGCACAGAGTGGGGGTCTGGGCACGGAGAGGGGCTGGGACTGCAGAGACAGGGAGGGGCAGTCAGGCGGGAGAGGGGGCCTCCAGGGAGCCGCCTCAGGTCTCCTGCCAAAAATTAAACTATAAAAAAGCAGGAGGGGAGCAGCAGGGGAAGGAAGGAGAGAAAGGAGCTGAGGAGGGAGGGAGGGAGGGGACAAAACAGCCCCTCCACACCAATAGCCCGGCAGGAGATGTGAGTAATACATGGCTGGTTCAGAGGGAGTGAGATCAAAAGCGAGTAGATACAAGAGGTTTGTGCTTCACCGACCAGACAGCAGAGGCTCAATGAGACCTTTGTTGCCCAGGCCCGAGTCAGGGCTGAAGGAGTACCTGACCCCCGCGCCCAGCAGCCCCCACACCCACCACCCCTGGGCAGGGGGAGGGGCGTCGGGCCTGCCCCAGTGAGTAGAGTTGGGCACAGCTCAGACCAGGCTGGTGGGTGGGAAGAGGCAGGAGGGCCTGCCCTCGCTGGGCTGGGCGTGGAGCTTCTGGGGTAAGTGGAGGAGTGAGCGGCTGCCTGGAAAGCAGGAAATGGCTCTGCGAGAACTGTGAGGGAGCCTTCGAGGGAGAGGGGCCTGGCTGGGCCCCCCAGGTGAGCAGGCTCTTAGCCCCCAGCCCCTGGCCCAGTGTCTCTGCGAGGGGACTGAGGGCATTCTGCTTTGAGCCCACGGTTTTGCAGGTCCTAAGTCTGTGCTTTGGGGGCCTATGGGAGAGGAAGGGAAGGAGAAGCAGAGGCTTCTGGGGTTGGGGCCCATGATCAGGTGGATCAGGTAGGGAGTTGGAGGATGTGTAGTTTGGCCCTTAGGTTAGGCAAGACTGGTGTGTGCGTGTGTGTGTGTGTGTGTGTGTGCATGTGCGCATGTGTGCTGTCACTGGGGGGTGTGGGAAGCCCAGTTAAAGGAGTTCCTTCCAGCCAGGGTCCTGCAGGGAGCCAGTGATCCTGCCTCTGCGGCTGGACACAGCACCGAGGTGCCTTTGCAGCTGCTCCCTAACAGAGACACAGGCTGATCTGGGCCTAAGGCTTTTTACCATCCTGTTGGGGGTCCCTGAGAGGTCAAGGCCAGGCTTGGCAGTCTGAATCTCCTGGGTCTTCCCTGAACTCCTCTCCTCCAAGGCCGATGCATGCCCACATCTGACCAGCACAGGAGAGGGCACGCGGGGACAGTCCTTGTGTTTAGAACACATCTCTTCCAGGGTCCTGAGGCCTGGGCTCCCCTCAGCTCAGCTCTTCGCCCTAGTCCTGGAGCTGCCTGTGCCCACCACCGTACCCTGCCAACGGGAGGGGCGGAGTACCAAGCACCCTGCCCACGGCATCGCCCAGGGATGGCGCCGAAGCTGGCTGCCCTCAGCTGGTGGGGGTCAGGCTCAGGCCCTTTCCTGCTTCCACCTAGATGGCAAGACAGAGATCCCACTCCGCTTTTAACCAGGCAGTGGGTACCGTTGGTAGCCACGTGGACTAGTCTAGGAAGTGCGGGCCAGCCCCCTACCTGTGCTCAGGAAACTTGTTCACCCTGCTAAAGGAAAGGCAGGCTCTTGTCTCTGCTCTTCTTTACCCAGACCCTCCTTTGCCCTCTGCTTCCTGTGGCTGGACTAGAAAGGGTTAAGCTTTGTAAGGAGAAAATCTAATGTGGGGCCAGCCCTGGGCATCGGCAGTGGGAGCATTGCAAAGATCCGGCCTTATTCCCTAGGGGAGGGGTAGTTCAGGACCCTGAGCAGGGGGCTGGAGGCTAATTAAGGGAATTTGAGGACGTCCTTTATGGCCAGGAAGCCACCCCTTCTCATACCCTGGAGTGAGGCCCATTGTGCAGGGCCTTTGTAGGGTGAGAACTGGAAACTCATTACAGGGATGGTTTTAATGCTTCTGGGGCCAGGGCAGGTGGCGGGGCAGTAAGAATGAAACCTGGGGGGCCCAGTATCTCGAGGGAGGCAGTGTGGGTGGGTGGGAAGGGGAGTGAGGGCTCCCCAGATACCCCCAGCTCCCTGTGTCCTTTTGAGATTCCCGCCGCTGGACCCCCTCAGCTCTGCTGTGGCCTATGGCTTTTCATTCCTATGTGATTGCTGTTCTAAACTCATGTAGGGCTAAAAGCCATGGGCTACAGTGAGGGGCGTGCTCCTTCTCCTGCAGCACCTGCACCTCCCCACAGGACCAGACTGGGAGCCAGCCACGAAGCGGGCACCAGAAAGGGGCTCTACTTAGGGCTGCGTCATGCAGGGGATCTGGTAACCCAGGGTCTGGGGGCAAGGCTGTGTGACCTTGGCCAACTCACTTCACGTCTCTGGACCTAGTCCCTCACTCTGAAATGAAGAGGCTGGTCTGGTGATTCCAGAGGCAGATTCCCTCTGAGGATGGAAGGAGAGATTCAGGGGGTGCTGAGGTCTCTGAGTCGGTTCCTTCCCCTTGCCAAGTTACTGAGCCAGGCTCATGCGCAGACATCTGGGGGCTGGAGTTGGGGGTGCTGGCCGCGCAGTGCTCAGGCCTTTGCTCGTTGCCTCCAGGACAGCCTCTGCTTCTCAGCCTCGCTCAGTTTTTCTCTGCGGTCAGCTTGGAATCCTCCGCCTTTTTCTGTGGAGGAGAGACCTTGGGACTTCTCAGTGGCTGAAATGGGAGAGCTCAAGCCTGCCACTTGGGGAGAGGAGGTTCTGCAGGTGGGCTAGGAAGGCAGCTGCCCCCCACGGGCTGCATTTGGAGCCCAAGGTCCCTAGCTCCTGGTCTGCTACCCTGTCCAGGATTTGCCCCCCTTCTCCTGGGTCTGTGAATGACCTGCTCTCCCTATTCTCTCCTGCCTGTCACTCATCTTGCCTGGCTCCCCAGGCATCTATCTGCTCTCACCCCCAGCCCCCCATCTAAATCTGCCTAACGCCCTCCCAGCCATCCTAGAAGACTCCCAACAGATGGAAATAAGGCAGGCAGTCTGGCTGGAGCGGCAGAGGAAGCACCTCGCCCCCCTTCCCCTTCCAGCCCTCAGTCTGTCTAAGACAGACCACTGGAGAAGCACAGAGTACTATATTTGGTGTTGAGAATCAGAAGGCAAGTTACTTATAATGTCTCAGAGCCCTTAATTTCTCTGGCCAACATTTACTTAGTGCCTGCTGTGCCCCAGGCATGGTCTGTCCATCTCCCCGCACTAACTCATTGCATCCTGGAAGCGACCCTGTGAAAAAGGTGCTGTTATTATCCCATTTTACTTCTGGGGAATCTGAGGCACAAGGGCGCTAAGAAATGGCCCGAGTTCCTATGGCTAGTCAGGGGCAGAGCTGGGATTTGAACCTGTGCCCTTACCACATCATGCTGGCATAGAGAGCCAGCAAGCCAGTGCATGGGAAAGTACTCTGAAAACTGGAGAGTGCTGTTCTCACAGGAGGGGAAGGTCTCTGTTGGATGCATGTCCACAATTGGCCCGGTGGCCCAACTCTAATCACCCTTTGTCCATCACTGGTTTTCCTTTTCCAGCAGGAGCGGAGGGGGAAAAAATCAAAACAATAGGAGAAGCAAAGAGAAAGCCCAAGCCAGCTGGGTTTTTGCTGGGGCCGATCCAAGCCACTTCCCCGCCTCAACCCTCCTGCCCCGGCCCCCGCCCCCGCCCAGCTTGGCTGGTGCAAGGAACAGGGTGAGGGTTTGTCAGGGTTTTTCACCTGCCCTGCCCTCCGGGTTCTCTTGCCCAGAGATCAGAGACGACTAGCACCTTCCCCCACCTCCCTCCTTGTCCAGCTGTCCCCAGCTCAGAAGGAGCCCATCCTCCCCCTCACTCCGCTCTGAGGACATCCAGCACCTAATTGCTTGCCTTGGCTGCTCATCTCCTAATTGGAGAGCCAGGTTGGAGCAGCGCCCCCTTCCTGCCCCTGCAGCTGGTCTCTCCCAGGAATACTGTTGCACACTTTGCTGGGAAGGTCCCAGCACTGGGCTGGGCCTGGGCGGAAGGGGACAGCTCCCCATGCAGAGGTTATGCCTCCGTAAAGCTCCAGCAAGGCAAGGCTCTCCATCGGGGTTGCTGAGTGTTAGTTGAATTGTGAACTGGGAGAAAGGCAGGATGGTGTAAGCTGCCATGGGTGGGGACGCCAGAGACAGTCCCACCTGGCCGGGCCTGGGCCTGGGGCGCTGCTAGGGTTACAGAGTTGCAGTTCCTACCTATCCTTTGTCTCTTGGCCCCTGCCAGCGGGGCAGGCCTGGAGACGACGGGCAATTCTATATTTCACATAATGGTTGAACTGAATTGAATAGGCAAGCTGGCCTCATGCCCTCTCTCCCTGGAGGATTCACAGATCAGAGGGCTGTGTCTGTCCTGTCCCCTGCCTGCAGACAGCTGAAACCTAAAATGTGTTGCGCAGTCTGTGTCTTTTTCCCAGTGCTCAGAGAGGCCAAGCATAAGGCCCCCCTTGGCAGAGTGGGCCCGTGTTTAATAGCGCTGAGATTCAGGTGACTCTCTCTCTGGTTGTATTTGTCCCATTTTTAGTGGAAATGGAGTTTGAATGCTAAAACTCTACTGCTTTCTGAATGCACAGATATAAAAAAAAATCTCTGCCCCTTCTTTAAAAGGGGATGGCACTAAAGTTTGACCTCTGGGGGCCCTTGTGGCACTGACAGTCTGGACTGCTGGTTTCCTAGCTGCTGCTGTATGTCAAGTTAATGACCCTCATCACGCTCCTGACGACTCTGAGGGTGGGCCAGCCTCTGCCAAGCAGGCCTGGAAGACCCTGGAACCAGGGCATAAAGACATTTCAAGACTATTAGTGTTTTGACCCCACCAGCTCTCAGGGCCCGCAAGTTCCTCACAACCAGTGGTAAATGCATGGCTGCCTGTGCGTTCTTGAAAGGTGGGGGGAGCTTCCCCTCTTTCTCTACAGGTGGGCAAGCAAGGAAACAAAGGGGGCTGGCCTGCGCAAGCCATCGAAGCTAGAGAGGGCCTTGGTTCCAGATTCCAGGGCACTCAGTAAGCGGGAGGCTGGAACTCAGTCTCAAGCAGGTCAAGAAGGAGTTAATCTCCAAGGAGAACACCGGCTTCTCCCAGACTGGAGCCCTGTGCCCAGCTCGGGCCGCCGCTGCCAGCTCTGGGCAGCAGCCCTGGGATCTGTAGTCCGTGCCGCCCCCCACCCCTGGCCTGCCTGTTTATCAGCACAGCCTTGCAGACTACAGTTCCCAGAAACCTACAGAGGCCAGGCTTTGGGGGAAGGGATGGGGTGTGAGGCTCGGTGGCAGCAGGAGAGAGAGGGAGAGAGAGGAGGAGGGGAGAGAAAACCCAGTTCACCCCCTTTCTCTCTGAGTCTTTCTGCCGGTGTGTCTGCTCCACCGCCCAAGCTAATCCCCCAAATCCGGCCTCCTCAGCCGCAGCTGCTTGCCTTCGCAGTGCTGAATGGCGCAGGCAGGGAAGGTGAATTCATATTTTAATTACGGAGGCGCGCTGCTAAGGGAAGCCTGGGAGGGCGGGGGGCTCAGTATTGTTCCAGAGGTGCGAGGGCGCTCCTCCTCGCTGCATCTCTTCTCATTTGCCCTTTACCTGGGGCGGGGGGTGCCTTGCTGGAAGCTACTCTGCTTCTGCCTTGGGAGGTGAGGGAATGGGGGGTGGACGGGACAATAGCCCTTGTCTCAGAATTCCTGGCATGTCCCAACACCTGTAAATATCTTCCTCCCCTCCCAACCCTCACTGCCGCCCACTTTGATGGAGGACATTGCCAAAATCTGAGACACCCAGGAGTTTGTGGTCTGCAAGCCTGGAGCCCTGGCCTTCTCCTCATCTTAGTTACTAGCCAGCCGTGAGCCCCTTCTTCCTCTTGTTCTTCCACGTGTTCCAGCGGTCTCTGACTCACTGCCCCATTTCTGCTGGAGGTGCTAGGGTTGGAGGACCCTGGGAGGGGGTCTGCAGGGAGGCTGGGGACCCTCTTGGTGATTTAGGATGATGCTCCGTGTGTTGGCACCTCTTTTCTGGCCCTCAAAGCTGGCTGCACGGAGGATGATCTATGCCCCAAGACCCCAGGCCATCTTGGACCTGAGCTGTGAAAAGGCCAGAGGAGGGTGGGGAAGACACCAGGACCAACACCTTGCAGTCAGATGCTGCCAACTGTGGGGTAGCAAGGCTTCATCCAGTGTCCACCTCCCCTTCCTTCCTATTCTGGGTTTCTGGGGGCTATTTTCCTGTTCCTCAGCCCCTCCTGGGCTATGGGCGTGAAAACCGAGGTTGGAGGGGAAAGCTGCAAGGTAGGAGGGGAGGTTTCCATCGCGAGCACAGATGAGTGGGAGTGCACCAGGCGTTGGTCCGCTTGCTTCATTGAGACTCTCGGACTCTGTCCATTTCAAACATTTGGACCCCTTTCCCTCGAGTAGACATAGCAAGAGGAGGTTCGCCAGGACCTGGCTTTTCCAAGGCGCCCTCCAGCTGGTGCTGGAGCCCTCCGCCAAATGTGAAGGGAGAGAGGCAGGGGCACAGAGAGGAGCAGAGACCACAGCCCTGCAGAGGGGCCCCCCAGGTACCTGCTGGTGGGGCAGAAGGATTCTGGGGGAGGAGGAGTGGGGCCCACAGCAGGAGGGACACTGAAACGGGAAGGGGCCACTGCTCCATGCCTCCCCAACTCAGGGGCTGGCTGGGAGACCTGAGAGGCATGGAGCCCACACTGCCTCCAGGGCTTGGAGTTGCGCACTGGGCAGTGAAGACCCTGTCAGGTCCTGGTAGGGAAGCGGGGGGGACAACCAGAGCATTGTGGATCAAAGACCCGAGCAGAATAACGAGGATGTCCTTGTACTCTCTGTCCTGGAAACAGAGACCCGGGGATCCCAGGGAGGCAGCCAGCTCTCGGACGCTTCTCAGAGCGGGCCCCTCGCCCAGCTCTTGAGTGGCTTAATTCAACTCTCCTTTCCTCTGATGTGTTGGTCCTGGTTCCTCCTACCCCCACCCCCAAATTTCCCTACAGTGAGCAAAAAAGTCAGGATTTTCTCATCTTTCCCAAAGGATCTCAGGGAGGACTGGTCACTTCAGGGGGTACATTCTGGTGTTTTTAAGAAAGAGCAGGGGGCCGGCCCGGTGGTACAGCAGTTAAGTGTGCATGTTCTGCTTTGGCGGCCTGGGGTTCGCCAGTTCGTATCCTGGGTGCGGACATGGCACCGCTTGGCAAGCCATGCTGTGGTAGGTGACCCACATATAAAGTAGAGGAAGATGGGCATGGATGTTAGCTCAGGGCCAGTCTTCCTCAGCAAAAAGAGGAGGATTGGCGGCAGATGTTAGCTAAGGCTAATCTTCCTCAAAAAAAAAAAAAAGAGCAGGCATTGGAGGGGAAGTTGGGGGGACAGGGAAGAGGACCTGTGCACCCTGGGACCAGAGACCCTGAGCTGCCTTTACACCCAGGGCTGGGGAAGGAATGGGGAGTGATGGTCAAAACTACTGCCTGGCTTGTTTTAGTTTTGAGTTCCTTCCCCAGATTAGCTCTGTGATGCCTGCTGATCTCTCCCTGGACATTTTTCCTGAAATCACGGGAATGTTTTGTTGATAGTACCCTTGACATACATCCCCCTAACAAAGAAAGTGTATGCATTACAATTACTGATTACAAGGTCTCCCTCCCTCCTTTGTGATCAGGCTAGGATTCTGACTGCCCTTGTGGCCCCTCAGGTCTGGGGTCTAAGTATTAAAGTTTTATTAACCTCTTATACACTCAAATAAGGAAATGAAGGCCCAGAGAGGTACAGCCACTTGCCCAGAGTGATACAGCATGCCTGCGTCAGAGCCAAGAATAGAACCCAGGCCCCTAAGCCCCCGTTTAAAGCCCTGTCTCTCTCTAGGTTTGTCACAGGAGAGGGATCTAGAGAGAGCTGCAGTAGAGACATCTAGAAATATAGTAGTTGTGTCTCGGCTCTGTCTATGTATATCCTGGAGACTGCTCTCTGCTCTCTATATAGACTCCAGAAGAGTGGGTGTGGATGGCGCTGGAAGCGGGTGATTAAATAACTAGTCTACCTCCCCACGCTGACTTGAGCAGGGCCTCCTGCCCACCCAGCTGGCCACTGGAAATGCACCGCCCCTATTCGTTCTAGTCATCAGCTGCATGCCAGGATGCGGAGGGTGAGGCAGGGGAGTCTGACAGGCCTGGCTCCGCGGTGGCCGCAGTGCTTGCTGAGGGCCTGCCAGCTGGGCCTCTGCTTTGCCTAGAGAAACTCAAAGGAAGTTTGTCCAAAGGAACAAGGTTGGCCAGACCTTTTGAACTGTCCAGAGAGCCAACACCTGGGTCTTGCCAGGTCCCTCAAAAACAGTGGAACCTCTGCAGATGTGCTAGCATTTGGGGCCTGGGACATCTGATGACTCTCCTTTGCAAGAGGGCTGGGGCAGGGCCACGCCTCCAGCTTCCTTATTCCAAACCACCCCCCCCCCCGCCCCCCTCCAGAGAGAGAAGTGATTCGACCCAGGCCCAGGGTGCTCTCCTTTGTGTCGGGCTGGTCTGCTGGAGCTGACGCGAATGCACTTCTGCTCCCTTCAGGGCAGCCACCCGGCGAGGAAGGGCGGAGAAGTGAGCTGGAGGACTGCTGGGGCAGGGGAGACCTCCAGGAGTGTCTGGAGGCTGGAGAGAGGGGTGCTGTCACAGACTGAGCGCTGACCCGAAGCCCCATCCTGCCCCAGCCAGATTGCCACGGAAGCCAGAGGGGCCCTTGCCTCCTGTGCCGAGGGCTGGGCTGTGTCAGCCAGAGGTGGCGACAACGGGCCCAGCTGGGGCAAATCCAGCCTCAGCCTCCCCCTCAGACTTGCTTTTGTGCCAGGGAGGAAACTCTGTTTACCCTGATGAACTTACCTCCCCAGCCCTTTGCCCAGCACAGGCGCTCAATCAAATGGCCTCATGGCTGAAAGAGCTCCGCTGTCTGTTCTCTGCAGCAGGATGAGGGGGTCTGTGTTGCCCTGGGCAGTCAGAGGGAGTCCATATGTTCCCCAGAGATTTCCCTAAGGGAGGCAGACAACTGGGACTGCCAGGGAAGGAGGAATCTGTGACTCAGTTCCAGGTGTCAAGGGGGAGGCTGTGCGGGATGAGGGACTTTATTCAAGGTCCACCGAGCCCCTCCCTTGGGTCCTCGGACTGTGTGACCTAAAGGAGGAGTGGAAACCCTCACCTCTAGCCTGTGTAAGGTGGCAGAAGCCAGAGCTTATCTCCAGCCACTTGCTTCCTGTTCGCCGACCACAGGTGTGTGGGGATGCGGTGAGCCAGGGGGCGGGGAGAGCAAAGGCGGCTGCCGGGCTTCCTCTTCCCACCTGGGACTCACCCAGGTTCCAGTTCCAGGAATGACATCAGCCCCACGCAGACCAGGAAACACCGAGGTTTCAAAGAGGCTGCTGTTTGTTGCCGTGACCCCTCCCCAGCCGGTGTGAGAGGTCTTGCAGGGCGGGCAGCCTGGGGAGCGGCGGTGATGGCCAGACCCGGAGGCTCTGGGAGTGTTAACTCCAGCCTACTTGTCTCTCCCGCCTCTCCTCCCTCGCCCTCCCCTGCAGATCTCTGGTGAGCAGCCCCAGCCTGGCCCAGGGCATGCCCCAGTTCACCTTCGCCTGCTTCTGCGGCCTCCACGGCTTCTGCAAGATGAAGAGGAAGAAGGAGGAAGCTCACAGAGAGCGGGAAACGGCGGTGTGAGCAGAACCGGGCCGTTGCTCAGCCCCTAGCAGGTTCAGGCCTGAGGGCGCACTGCTGGCCGAGGCCTGGAGCAGGAAGTCTCCATTGCACTGCTCTTCTCAGCTTGGCCTGACTCCATCTACCCTGAGGGCTTCGGCCTCCTGCTGCCTGCCTGGGAGCTTCCCATCCCCGAGACGTCCCTGGGGAGAGGCCCCGGCCACACCCACAGTGGGGCCAGCCAGGACCTGCGTTGGCCTCCCAGAGACCAAGAGGTCTGCGGAGGCCCCAGGAGTGACGCTTCTTTCCCGCCCGAGGTCAGGCCTCCAGGGACTCTGCTCAGGGTCTCCTCCCCTGAGGGCCTGCAGCCCTGGACCAGGACCCTGGCTGCTCTGCCGGAGGCCCTCCCCGCAGCCCTGCCCCTGGGGGGCCCTCAGGAAGGAGGGCGGGTGGAGGTGGAGAGGAGCCCCCTCCAGGCCCAGGATCTGGATGTAGCCTCTCCCGGGCCGGCCTGAGGCAGGAGCCTCTGCGGAGCAGCAGCAGCATCCACAGGAATGTGGCCGGAGAGATGAGTCCTTTCCCGCCAGTGTCCTCCTGGGCCAGGTGGAGCCAGGCCTGAGGGGGCAGCCTGGTTGTGAGGGGATGGCAGAGTGGGGCCACTGGGAGGCTGGGCAGACGTCCTCTGCCTCAGTCGGGCAGGCAGCTGGCTCTGTCTCCCTCTCCCCCACTCTCCCCACACGCCAGAAAGCACCCTTCCCTTGCACCCGGCCTCTCTGAGCCGCTCGCCTCCACCATGCCTCCTTGGCAGCAGCACAGATGTGGGGGGCCTTTCCCCAGGCCCTGGCTCCCCTCAGGGACGACTTCCTGCGCCAGACCGAGGGAGCCCTCTCCTGGACTGAGCCGTGCCCTCTCTTCCCTCCCCTGTCTCTCTGCCTCTTCCTTTCTCTTCTCAGAAGCCATAGAGGGGGAAATGCTTGCATGTGGTGCCTTTAGGGGAAACTCTGGGGGGAGGGGTCCTCTAGGACTTTCCCTCTAATCTCCCCACCCCACCAACCTTAGCAGTCAGTCTCTGCTCCCACTCCCACCCTATTTCCAGGAGGTAAGAAGCAAATGAAAACCATTTCATTCCTTCTTTCCTCGCTTCCCGCCCCGTCCCCCCAATATAACTTAGCCTCCATCACTGTGCCGGGACCTCTCAGGTGCTAGAGGGTCCTGCGACAGCAATAACAGAAGCAGAGACACTTTAGGCAGATTCTGTGGCTTTAGCAAATCTGCCCTCCTTCACCACAGGAACGTTCAGCCCAGGAACTGAGTCAGACCCCCTCTGGCAGCCAGGAACAGGATAGCCTTTGACAGATAGCAAGCAATCTGGGCAGAGGAGGCCAGGCCCCAGGACAGAAGGAGGGGCTGTGCACTCCTCTCCTTGCAAGGTGGGCCTCTCTGGGCAGTTAGGGAGGGCAGGAGGCCTCCTCCACTGGTTCCTCCGCAGCCTGGGAGAAGCAAGGGCACATCCTACCTTGGCAGCCTTTGCCTGTCCAGCTCACACCCTGTGCTCAGGGGCATTGCCTGGGCTTCTGGCAGATTTGGTGGGATCCGGGTCATCTTGGTGAGGCCAGAGCCTAGCCAAAGATTTCTCTCCTCCCACCCCCTCCTTTGCCCCTACTGCCCAGCCCCAGCCTTCTTCAATCTGTTACTTCCTTTTATATCCAAAGAATTATAAACAGAAGTCCTTCCCTCAAGGAAGCAGCAAGAAAGGCCAGTGGAGTCACAAGGGACAGAAGAAAAACTCCCTGGTTCTTTGGCCTTTGGACTGTAGAGGCCTCGGGTGAGGTGGAGATGGGCAGGAAATCTTTCGGGGGCACCTCGATACAGAGGCCGGAGAGCCCGCCTGTGGGCATGCGTGTCCCTGGCCTGGCCTGCGGGGCTGCAGCCCTGGAGACAGCACTGCGGAGGCGGAGGAGGAAACTGTATCCCCGAGAGTCAGCGGTGTTGGGTGTTCTGTCCTGACCACATGGGCTCACCCGGAGGAAAGGTCAGGAGAACGGAGAACACATGCGGGAGCGGGTGGCAAACAGGAGCTGCCCCTGCACGCCTCCCAGGCCTTGGCAGAGCCATCAGCGCAGGGTTGGCAGCAAGCCTGCTCAGAGAGCTCCTGCCCCCGGAGGGCTCCCTTGGCTCCACAGGGACACTGGATATCTTGAGCCCTTGCTGTGGGAACATCGGAGAGGTCCCAAGGTCAAGGTATTTCTGAGTGTAGGCCCAGCTGGTGCCTGCAGACAGCTGTCCTTGGCCTCGAAGCCAGCGGTCCGTTCATCCAGGACAAAGGTTGGGGCCAACACTGAGGCTGAACTGGCCAGAGTAGGAGGCAGCAGCAGCTTTGAGCCAGACACATCCCACATCTGTTGTCCCTGTTTCCTTCTCAGGGACGTGGGGACTCAGCTGCTCTCAGCACCGCGGAAGGCAGTCTGCAGACCTGTTCCCCCTCCGCCCCCGGGTGAGCCCAGGGAGAGGTCTAAACCAAAAAGACAGAAGCAGCCCCAGTGCCCACGCCCTTGCACCCCAGGCCTCAGAGTTCCAGGCAGGTTTCTCTTCCTCCTGCTCCTTTGGGGCGTGGGGGTCAGGCCACCTTGTTTCTTGCCCTGCCCTGAGTCTCACCCCTTCCCAGAGATCAGGTTGTATAATTTTGCCCCCCTGTTTCTAATCCCCTTCACTCCACAGTTCTCTCTACGTTGAAGTGGGGGCTGGGAGCTCCTGGGGTGGGGCAGGGGCCACAAGTAGATAATTCTGAGGGGGGGTTGGGCCTCTTGTTCTTGGTGCGTGGCACTGAGTCCTCCTTGTGGAAGGGCGGGAGGCCTTAGCTTCTCTGGGCCTCAGTTTCCCCATCTATAAAATGGCCCATTACTCCTCTTGTGACTGGAGTACTGTCTGGGACCCTGGCCCAGGGGACCCCGAGGGATGTCTTGTCTCAGGTTGAAGTCTTTTTTTATTAGAATGTAATTTCCTTCTCCATTCCCAGGGAAGCAGTTTTTGAATGTAGCATGTGGGTCAATAGAAATATATAGAGAGGAGGCCAGTCCCGTGGCCGAGTGATTACACTCATGTGCTCCACTTCGCCAGCCCAGGGTTCACAGGTTCAGATCCTGGGCACGGACCTACACACTGCTCATCAGGCCATGCTGTGACAGCATCCCGCATAAAAGAACTAGAATGACTTACAAGTAGCATACACAGCTATACACTGGGGCTTTGAGGAGAAAAAAAGAAAAAATAGATTATTTTTGGAAAAAAAGCAATAATTTAACTAACTGAAATATGCATGAGGTAGCACGTGGGCTGCAAAGAGCATTGAGCTGGGAACCAGGTCTCCTTGGTTCTACCCTGCTTGGACACTGATGACGGAGTGACCTTAGGCTAATCACGTCCTCTCTCTGGGACTTGTTTCCTCAGCTATAAAGAGGGGATTGCACTAACGTCCTCTAAGTCCCCCTCAGAGTCCAGGGCTCTGTGGTCTGGGAAGTGGAGCTCAAGCCACAGAACCAGGGGGCTTGCAGGTTTCCTGTGCCCCAGTGCTGTGCTCCTTGCATGCAGCAAATGTGTGGGGAGGGTGGGTGGGTAGATATGGTAGATCTAAGAAATGGTGGGAGTGAGAGGGAAAGCCAGGCACTGAGAGTTTCTCCTGCTAGAATCCTCCCCGAGCACTCCTGCCCAGGGAGCCAGGACTACTTGCAGCTCTGCCTCCTGCAGCCAGGCCCAAGAGGAGTGAGTGTCTCCAGGCTCGCACAGGTGCCACTTTTGTGCACACGCTCTTACACACACAGACACCCCTCCTTGCAGATGGGATTTCAAGGACCGGCTCCTGCCCCAGTTATGTAACCCACAGGCTTCCCTCTGCACAGCTGCTGGTGAGTCCATCTCCAAGCTGACGGACACACCCCACCTCATCGCCTTGCCTTCTGCAAGGGAAGTGCCTCAGGCTGCACTCTGCTCTGCCTACAGACTGAATGTGCATTTTGCCCAGTGCTCTGGGGTGTGCTGCTGGTAGGATGGGCCGACGACTATCTTTGGATGGACAGCGGCAGCCACCAGTTTCCCAGCGCTCCGCCATGGCTGACTCCTGACCTCGGCAACTTGCTTCCTCCCTCCCAGCCTCTATAAAAGAGGGTAAGACCCATTTCTTCCCTACCTCACAAGAAGGCGTGCAATGCAAGGGCATGTTGTATCAGATGTGCCCAGGTGCAGCTTGAGCTTTTGGAGACAGACACTCAATTCGCAACCATGGAGATGGACTTTGACCAGAGAAGGAAACCTCTGGCTGCTGTGTTTGGTGGGCTCCCTGCAGGCTGGTCCGGAAAGCCTGGCGTTCACCCTGAAGGTGGCTGCTGTATTCAACATGTGATGGGGCTGACATCAGCGCCAGAACCAAGAACCAGAATCTGTTCCCAAAGAATGAACGCTTTATCCCGCTGACACAATAAGCAACAGCAGGAGATAGCCATCACCACCATCTCCCTGTTCCCAATACCAACGGCTTCTTAAGGCCATGTTATGTTGCTAAAGAATCTAGGAGCAGGGCGTTTGGCTTCTCAGAGGAATCCCCTACCTCCCAGGCCATACCCGCAGGTCAGTGCCTACTGTATCAGGCGGTTGTGGCCAGTCCTGCCTGGGCTCCCTTCTCTAAATTCCTGTGGGATCAGCACCACAGACCATGAAGAGGAAACAGAAACCTTGGCTGTTCACAGGGGAGCCCAGGAGGTCAGGACCCTCCACCAGGAGGGTGAGATGTGGGGGTGATGCAGGGCCTCCCTGGAGGACCTGGTTATACTGAGGAAGAGGTTCCAAAAGCAAGGAGCCCACAAAATTGGGCAGCTCGGGCTCTGGCAGGAACCCCAGGCTCTGGAGTTCAAGGGTTTCCTAGTGGGCTGCTGGTCTATCTCCCTTCCTTTGGGCAGCCTGCCCTCCTCCTCAGCTCATCCCTGTGTTCCATCCGAGAGGCAGGGGGAAGGCTGGAGGGGGAGATGGCAGGACCCAGACGAGATCCTCAGGACTCTCCCAGCCGTCGTTGCCATGGCAATGCTGCTATTTTTATCCCGTTCATGATGCTCAAAGCTCTGACTTTCTCTGTTCCAGAGAGGCCAGGCTGGCTTCTGCCCTCATCCTTCAATGCAGCGCCTTCTCCTAGAGGCCTGAGAAGGGAAAAGTGATGGAGAAAGGGGAATCCACTGGGTCCCCCTCAACCAAGGAAGCTGTTTGACAGTGGTTTGCCCTGCACTCTTGAGCCTTGGGTTTTCCAGCTGGCTTAGGTGCCCAGTTTCACATCTTCAGGGAGATCAGAACTCCCCAAGGTCTCCCCGAGAGGCTGCTCCAGAGAAAAAGAAAGAGCTGCCACGTGAGACGAGTTTTTCCCACACAGCTAGGACCTGAGGGGCTGCTGTCCTTGAGAAAACCAGACCCGGTTCTGAAGAACGTCCTAGTGGTACAAGCCAACCACTGGCCCCTTGAAAGGGAATGGAGAGCTAAGTTTGGTTAATTAGCAACAGGTACACTTACCATCGCTGGAGAATCTGAACTACTGCTTCCCTTTCCTCCACCCTCCACCAAAGAACTGGGGCAACTGGCTTCCTGTCTTTGTCTAGCCTTCATGCCCAAAGCAAGTTAGCATATATTCTCCAGGCTGGAAAGCAGACTCCTGGGTTCCTCTCCTTCCCTCCCCCCTGCCAAACAGCCATGTTTCTCTCCAGGGCCTTGAGGTCTTAGATTTTAATGACGCTCTCTTTTTTTTCCAAAGCCCCCCAGTACACAGTTGTATATTTTAGTTGTGAGTGCCTCTGGTTGTGTTAATGACGCTCTTGAAGGCAGGGTTCAATGAAAGGATTTCTTAGAGCTGTTCATTCTCTGTCCCTTCTCCCTAGCCCAGCCTCTGGTCCTCTCCCTATATCCCCACCTCCACCCCAGTGGCAAGGTACCCCTGAGCGTCTACGGTGCTAACGTTCCCCAACTGTATGTTCTGATGGTCAGGGAGATTTGAATCCAGCAGCTGGGGTGGTTGGATTGGGGGAGAGCATTTCATGCACGTCCTCGAGACCATAATCCTGGATGGGTTTCGGTCTTAACCTAGTGAAGTAGCAATCATATTGTGCTGACCTCCTGCATTGAGGTTCCACTTCAGCCGATCTGACTCCTGGATGGGTAATTTTTCTAGGGTGGCTGGGATGCATTTACTAAGCCTCTAATTGGTTTCAGTTTGGCTCAAGTTGCATGGTTTCCTGAATCTGTGCACCTGGAGTAAGCACTTCTCTGGATGCCTCTGAAAAGCATGCCTGCAAATGCTGCTCTGTTAATTGCTGCAATAAACAGACTTTACTATATCCCTTTGCAGTAAATGAATTATGTTGTCAGGGTAGATGGGGCATCGTGTTTATTTCACACTGTGATACACTGCAGCCGCAGAAGCTAAACATTTACTTCCACCAACTCTGCTGGGGAGAGGAGAGAGAATGGAGACTGGGAGGAAGAGTCAGGAGCAGGCACATAAGGTGAGGGGACGGGGCCTAGAAGGAGGCATCAGGAGACACAGTGAGCACCGGAGCTGCGAGCCTCCCTTGTGCTCCATGCAGACCGAGGGAAGGCCAGCCTCCTGCCTCCTAGCGTTTCAGAGAAAGGGGGGTAACAGCCGGCTGGAGGAGATGGGGTGGGGCTAGGGAAGGCGGTCTGGGGCTACGATAGGCTCACATAGACCTGAAGGTGCTTTTATCTTTTACAGAAAGAGTAAAGACCTTCAGCTGGGCTTCTCAGGAAGAACAAATGGGAATTTTGAGACTTACAAGGAGAGAAAGATGCTATAAGATTGCATAGTATTAAGAACAAGAATTATTATATCATATGATATGTGAATTATATATCAATAAAACTATTTTATTTTTTTTTGAGGAAGATTAGCCCTGAGCTAACATCTGCTGCCAATCCTCCTCTTTTTGCTGAGGAAGACTGGCCCTGAGCTAACGTCTGTGCCCAACTTCCTCTACTTTATATGTGGGACGCCTGTCTCAGCATGGCTTGACAAGCAGTGTCTAAGTCCGCACCCAGGATCTGAACCAGCAAATCCCTGGCCACTAAAGCAGAATGTGCGAATTTAACCACTGTGCCACCGGGCCAGCCCCTCAATAAAACTAGTTTTAAAAAGAATTGTTATATCACAACCCCACTTTGATTGGAGGGACAGAGATTCCAAATTATCACTGAAGTGAGGGGCCCTGAGACGGGCCAGAGAGCTGGAGCCACCAGGTCTAATCCCAAAGCCAGCCTCCTGTAAGGCAGGGAGTGGTTTGGGGCAGGACAAGGCTAACGGGTCACACGCAGCCGCCCCTTCTGCTGGGTAAGCCACCATGATGCCTAGCACAGAAGCACTCCAGAAGTGCTTGTTGAGTGCTCTGGCGTCCGCTGGGATGCCTGCCCCTAGCCCTTGTGCTGTCAGCATCCCAGGCCTTACCCTCGTGTGGGGAAATGTGTGCTGTGTGCTGCCGTCTACTCAATCCATTCAATCAACAGTGAGCCCTGACTGCAAAGCCCTGGGGAGGAGCTGCGGGAGAAGCGCGGGGAAATCAGACACTGCCCTGCCCTCCGAAGAACTCACAAGCTAATGAAAGGCAACGTGCCAAGGCTCGAAGGATGCAAGATGCCTTAGGGAGAGTACAAGCAAAGTGCTTTGAGGCTCCAGGGGCCTGAGAGAGCATAACTGGAGAGGGGCACGGTCAGGGAATGTTTAACAGAGGAGGAGGAATTTGAGTCCAGCCTCAAAGGATGGAAAGGAAAGTGTTCCAAGCACAGACCCCGGGACCCCTCGCTTCTCTTTGCATCATCTACAGACATCTGCCCAGGAACACGCAGACAGAGCCAGCAGTGACCTTGCAAGCAGGCGCTTTATGTAGCCTCTTCTGTCACAGGTGGGCTCTTGCTCCAAATTCCTCTCCTCTCCAGGAGTTTGATGCCTGAAATTTCATTCGAGCCTCGTCTCTTTTACTTTAGGCTTCGATCCCCTGGGGGGCTGTAATCCAGGAGAGAGGGGAGCACTGGGCAGTGACCAGGCACTCGCCCCACAGCATCAATGACTACAGCAGATTCCCTCCCCGGCGGGTTTCATTAGCATGGAAGGAAAAGCGTGAGAGCATCAGTGGACATCTGGCGGGCGTGGGGGGCACCACCTGGTGGGGAAAGGCAACAAAGAAGCGGGCAGCTGGGAGCTCTGACAGCTTCCCGCTCTGTCCCGCAGGCTCTGCAGTCTACCATGCTTAAGCTCCTTCACTCTCCAGACCTCCTCCCTCCTTTTCCCTTCCTCTTCCTTTCTCTCTCCAGCTACCTTTTCCCCTACCCTCCTTCCAAAGACACAGGAAATCTCAAAGACATCATTTGATGTCCCATCGTGACCCATCACTGCCTGAGTCCAGAAGGTTGGGGACAGAGGCATGGACTGGCAGTCTTAAAGCTGCTGTGTTTTTGTCCTGCCTCTGCCCCAGCTAACATGCTTGTTGATGGCCAGACAGGCCGCCTTGTGTATCTTTGGACCTCGGTTTCCCTTCCTGTAGAGTGGGTGTATCTCTGCCTCCCCCCGCGGTCCTCTCAGTTGGCCATGAGGGAGGAGCATGAGCCCTGGGTTCTGATCTCAATTCTCTCCGCTGCGGCAGCCTGGAGAACGGACTAGGTCTCCCTAGACCCCGGGTTCCATACGTAAATGCAGATAATGATGCCCATTCCGCAGGTCTTTTCCAGGCTCAAATAAGACAGCATATGCTGAGACGCCTGCTTAGCTCGGTGCCCGGCACAAAGCAGGGGTTCGAAGGAGTTAACTGACAGCTTTAGTTGAAAGAATTACAAACGGCAAGAGATTCTGCACATCTCCCATAGTGCGCTGCTTCTAGCGCAGTGTTGGGTACAGGACGAAGACTGAGTAAACACAGTCCTAAGGGAACTGAAGATAGACATGGGGATGTCAGGAAGTGTTAAATTCGCTCACCTGTCCTAGACAACTTCTTCTTTCTCAGGTAACACAAGAATAGCGGGTGGATAGGCCTGCCCCCAAGTGCAGTGTGGCGCGGTGAAAGTGAGCTGGGGCGCCTCTACCTTCCGATTGTCCCCCCCTCCAGCGATCTGAGCGCTCTAGGACGAGTCATTTCCCTCTGCTACGTTTTGGGGAGCATCCTGCAGGCGGCGCTCTCCCGTCGTCTCAGCCCCAGCAGGGTTGGGGCTGGGGTAGGGAGCCAGGGGTGAGGGGAAGTGTGCAGGAAAAACAGCCCCACGCGTCGCTCACATATTTACATCTGAACTGTCAAAATAGTTATTTTTAAGTCGACTTCCGTCTGCCGCGGGTTTAAAAATCGAGCGAGCGGGGGCGGGGGCGCCCCGCTGTGGATCCGGGGCGGGCGCGGCGGGCCGAGTGCGCGTGCGCAGAGGGGCTCGCGGGGTGCGGGTGCGGCGGAGCCGGCGGGCTCGGAGCGGTGCGCGCGCAGGCCGGTGCCCCAGGGGGCAGCCGCTTTGCGCGTGGCTTCGCGAGCTGCGGAAACCCTTGGCGCCGCCCTGATCTCCTACTCCTGGCTCTCCAGAGGTGACGGGGAGGCCTCTCCTCTCTCAAGGGAAACGCGCATCCCGTCCCGGCCAAGATGGAGATCTGTCCCGTCCTTACTGTCCACTGGAAAAGAGATTCCACGACTTCTAGCTGTCCGTCTGCCCCTGCCCCTGATCCCCCTCAGCCCAGAGGTTCTTCTCCGTACCTTACCTCCACCCCTCCTGGCTACACCTTGGACCCATTCCATTTCTGAAGCGAAACTTCATACGTTCCAGATCCAGGTCTGACTGTGAGGACCCCCGCCCCAGCCTCTCACAACCATCCACACCATCGGCCCTTCCCAGGAAGGAAGGAGCTGGGGACTGTTCAGGAGCTGGTCAACGTTTGGGTGGGTCTGAAGCTAGGGACCCTTGGGTCTGCAAGCAGTGGAGAGAATGACTAAGCTCTAAATGCCGAGTGACAAGAATTCATTTTTCTCTGCAAAGTGAGGGGACTGCGGGTTTGACACTCATGGCTCTTCTTTTTGGCTCTCTTGCTGGTTCACTCAGGGGCGGTGGGATTGGAGACAGAGGCTGGCTGGCCCCGCTGCCATCAATATGTGTCCCAGACCTGTCCAATGTCTGCTCTGTAATGAGGAGTGTTTCGGAATGTCACCTCTGTTAATGGGGAAGCGGCACCTGTGCACGGCCGGAGCCACCTCTCTGTCTTCATTAGGCAGTCTGCAGCCTGGCTGCCGGCTGCCGTCGCTGGGTGACAGATGACTGGCTGAGGAGCGAGAGCAGCGGCCTCCTGCTGTCCAGGATTCATTCCCAGACAATGACCCTGCATGCCCGTCCCTTCCCCGCCCCCAAGTAGACGGTGGGGGGAAAAAATGCCCTTCCAGGACAAGGTGCAGCGAGGACAGAAAATAGATAAAAACCGGGCAAAGGAGAGTGGAGGAGTCATTTCCAGAAACGAAAAGCTTCTCTAGCCACCCTGTTCTTCTGTCCTGATTGCATTTTAGGGCGTCTTCCTCCTCCCCAGCACAGCTATCTTCACAGGCGACCTTTTATGTCCTTTCTGATAAATCTGTGCACCATGCAAAAGTCACAAGATGAGGATATAACCATTCTAATTCCAGACTTTCCTCTAGCCAGGGCTCCGTATTGCCTCCTAGCAAAATCCTGCTCTCGTCAAATCTCAGCCCTCACATCCACATGAGAATAGTGGGCATTGAGATGAGCCAGCCCCAGAATGGCGTGAGACACTGGCATGGCTTCAGAGGCCTCCTGCTGTCATGATAAAAACATCACTGTGGGTACCGTATTCCTCTGGGTCAGCTCAGTGTTCCCACCCTCCCCCCAAGGCTGTGTTAAGTACTTGTGGCATCTCCTTTATCTCCTCCACTGCCCAAGCGAGTTAAGCTGGACTCAGAAGTGTCCTTCCATGCTCTCTATGTGACTGGAGGTGGAGGTGGGTTGGTGCCAGCTTAGGAGGGTTAGGAGTGGTGGTGAGGGTCACTTGGAATTGCCCAGGGCAACTGTCTGATGCAGAAGCTGCATGGACAGTTGGTTTCTTGACTGGGGCTGGTGTTGAAAGTGGCTTTACTTTGCCAGGCCCTCACGTTAAAAGGCTCTGAAGGAGCCACCTGGGGATCTGGGCTTTTCCTATTACCCCTCTTCTCTGTCTCAGTGAAGGGCACATTTGTCCACCTAGATATTCGAGCCAGAAATCATCCTTCAATTCAAGCCAGAGAGTCATCCTTGACACCCGCCACTCTCCAGCCCACATTTGATCCATCACCAAATCCTCTCGGCTCTCCCTCCTACG